CCAGCTCCGCCGCCGAGCCCGAGGGCCCCGGGGCCAGCTGCGCGGCCGCCGCCAAGGCGCCGGTGAAGAAGAACGCGAAGGTGGCCAGTGTGAGCGTGCAGCTGGAGATGAAGGCGCTCTGGGACGAGTTCAACCAGCTGGGCACCGAGATGATCGTCACCAAGGCCGGCAGGTCAGGGACCCCCTCCGCGCGACCCTCCCCACGTGCGGCCACTGTTGGGCCACGGGGCCTTGGCCGGATCCGCGCAAGTGGGGCCGAGGAGCTGGGTGTGGGGCGCGGCCCGGCCACCTGCAGGCCCTTCTCGGTCCTGCCGCCTCCTTCGCTCTCCACGGTCCCGGCTCCGGCGACAGCCTCTTGACGCGCCCCTCTTAACACTCCCCCACCCTGCGCCTAGGCAGGAGGGGATTGCGCTGGGGCTGGGCGGCCAGAGAGGAGCCTCGTGGGAAGGCCCGGCCGACCCGCAGGACGCCGCGCACGGGGACCCGGCCGGCTCAGAGCGCACCCGGCTGGGAGCGGGCAGCGGCGTCCAAGGGGCCTCCCGCCGCGCCGGCTCCTGGTAGATCCTACCTCTAAGGAAACTCCCGTTTGGGTTCCGGAGTACATTTTATGCGGGCAAGATAAAGAGCAGCACTCTGGGAATTGGACAATTTTAGGAGGAAATTAGGACCCTAAAAACAGTGCTCTGTTCAGCGGAGGTTGCCGCGGAAGGCGTTTTCAGCCTACGTTTCAGGTAGCTGTGGGGCCTGGCTCCCGGACATGCGCCCGCCTGCCATGGGCCTGTATTTGTTGTAAGGGCCGAGAGAGAAAGGGAGCAAGTTTTGCCGACGTCCCCAATTTGACCAGCAGACAAAGGCGGGTGCTGGGTTCTGTCTAACGTACACACCAGTTCGTGTCCGCATAACCAAGGGGAGCTCAGGGCCTGTTTGCAAAGTTCTCTTTCTTGGTTTCTGTTTCTCTGCCGCAGCTGTCCGCCCTGGGGAACCAGGGGCCTTTGCCTGGCTCCAGCCTTGGATGGTTTCTCCAGGCTCTCCTGGCTGTCCCTGGGCACATGAGCCCTCCTGAGGACAGGGGCAGCTCGGCCTCCAGTCCCAGCCACCCCAGCAAGGGCCTTGTTGGCGCCAGCTTTCACCCCAGGACACTCTGCAGTACCTTCCCAACTGCAGAGGCTTTGAGTAGGGGTGGCAGGAGGCCTGTGGGGAGGACTGGCTCCTGGCCTGTGCCTTCTGCCCACTGCCTGCACTGAGCTGCCTGTGAGGAGAGGCGGTGAGGAAGGCAACTGGGGGCCAAGTCTCACGTGTTGTCCTCCAAGGTCCAGTGGCCGGTACTGCTGATAGGGTGGGGAAGGCCAGCCTGAGGCCAACAGCCCATCTAGGAGCTGCACAATGTCTTTTCAAGAGCCTTCAGTCACCAAGTCAGGGTCCAGAGGAAGAGAGGCTTGGGGAGCTGTGCAAGCACAGGCCAGGTCCACCTCGGGAAGCTAGCTGTGTCTTGGGGGAAGCGGGAACTTGCCTGTGTCCCGAGAAATGTGCGGAGACCCCAGTGTGGAGCCAGGGCCTGAGAGTCAGAGGTTGTGGGCTCTAAGGCCCTGGCTTCCTTAGAGGGACTGGGGAGCATTCGCAGACCCAGCTGAAAGGGCAATGGGGACACCGTACACGGAAGACCCAGTTTCACTTTGTTGGAGCCGGGGAGCTGCTTTCACCTAGAGCTAGAGAGGCTCGGTTGGCGAGTGCATCTTGGGCGCCCAGCTGCTGGTGGAGGCTAGGTTTAGGAGACCAAAAGATCGGCAAGGGCCAGGCCGGGGTTATGCAGGCAAAGTAAGCAGAGGTCAGTCGGGGCACCAAGGCTGGGGTCTAGTCTGAGCTAGCCACTTTTGTTTCAAAAATAGGACTAGGAGGTCACCCTCTCTGCTAGGCCTGGCAGTTGAGCAGGGCCTACTCTGGTTATAGCTTTAGCAGGCTGAGCGAGTAGGGTGGGGGTGAAACTCACAGCCTGGGCTCATTCTGAAACCCACTAAGGCTGGCAGGAAGGGCCTAGTTGGGGTTCCACCAGTCCCTGGGCAGGTCGGAAAGGGGGTCACCGTGGCCCATGGGAGGTGACCTGAGGCCTTACCGACCCCAGGCGAATGTTCCCCACGTTCCAAGTGAAGCTCTTCGGCATGGACCCAATGGCCGACTACATGCTGCTCATGGACTTTGTGCCAGTGGACGACAAGCGATATCGGTGAGTGAGCCCTCAGAGCCACTTGGGCCTGCCCTGTGCACGCAGGAGGGTGCCCTGGGAAGTGCTGGCAGCCAACTCCCAGGGCCCACACCATGAAGTCTGCAGGTCATCCCAGGCACCTGCTACCCTGTCTCTCCAAACTGGTGACCTGCTCCCTCTCCTCAGCTGTCTAACTCCAGACCCCCACACCAGGAGGTCACAAAGGCTGGGAGGCCGGTGTGCCAAGTATGCAGCATCCATTTCTTCTTGTCCTTCTCTCCCAGGAGCCAAGCTTGAGTGCCTCGTCCCCTTCCCCCATCCCCAGGGTCCTAGAGCTAGGCCGGAAAGGTGGGGTGGCCGGGAGAGATTACGCAGGGCGGGCCTCAACCACCCGGACAATTAACAGCAATTAATAAAGGAACGTGGGCTGCCCTGTGCCAGCGGCCACAGGCGAGGCCAAATCTGGGCTTCTGGGCTCCTGTCACCCAAGCACCCACCCAGGGACCAGACTGTGGACCCGCATGGTGCGAAAGAAGGGGGAGCCCCTCCTCCGCTCTCTCTGCCCCAACCAGTACTGGACTTGCCACTCCTCCTTTTCTTGTATTGGGGGCCAGGGCAGTTTTCTGGTTTTTCCACAATCCCCAAAGATAAACTCCCAGCCTTGTGGGGTCACAGGTCTCCATCTCACAGGTGGGGAGACTCCTCAGAGGGACATTTGGGGTTCACCCAGCATGTGGAGGGCAGGGCCCTCTGAGCTCCCCCTCCTGTGGAGTGACCCCCTCCTCGTGCCACTCTAGGTACGCCTTCCACAGCTCCTCCTGGCTGGTGGCTGGGAAGGCAGACCCGGCCACACCAGGCCGCGTGCACTACCACCCAGACTCGCCTGCGAAGGGCGCGCAGTGGATGAAGCAAATCGTGTCCTTTGACAAGCTCAAGCTGACCAACAACCTGCTGGACGACAATGGCCACGTGAGCAGCACAGTCCTCCCCGGGCTTCCCAGCTGTCCCTGGGTGCAGGCACTCTGGCGTCCCTGCAGGCTGGCCGGAGGTGGAAGCAGAGTTTGGGCAGTGCTACAGATGAGGGCCAGACTAGGAGATCAGGCTTCTTGTCAAAGGTCACACGGCCCAGGCCTTGCCTGAGAGAGGGGTCACCCTCCCCTTGCTGTAGTTCTGATCTTATGCGGAAGGCTTTTTTAACTGACAGGCTTGGGGCCATGCTTAGGGGCAGGAGGCTTTTTTTTTTGAGACGGAGCCTCAAGCTATCCCCCTGGGTAGAGTGCCATGGCATCACGCTCACAGCAACCTCCAACTCCTGGGCTCAAGCGAGTCTCCTGCCTCCGCCTCCCAAGTAGCTGGGACCACAGGCGCCCGCCACAACGCCTGGCCATTTTTTGGTTGCAGCCATCATGGTTGTTTGGCGGGCCCGGGCTGGGGATTTGAACCCGCCACCTTAGGTGTATGTGGCTGGCGCCTTAGCTGCTTTAGCCACAGGCGCCGAGCGGGGGCAGGAGGCTTTAAGGAGTCCAGCAAGTGAGGCTTGAAGCTTCCTTGCTGCAAGGGTCCAGGACTTAAGGTGGGACTTTCCTGGCATCCCCAGTGGGGTCCAGCCTCATCTCAGGAGTAAAGGGTTTTGCCTGTCTTACTCAGAAGTGCATTGCCTACTCAGACCTCGGCTCCAACCACAGCCCCCAGCTCAGTACTTCCACCGGAGCTGGTGCCCACCTTCTCTTCCAGATCATTCTCAACTCCATGCACAGATACCAGCCCCGCTTCCACGTGGTCTTTGTGGACCCTCGCAAAGACAGTGAAAAGTATGCTGAGGAGAACTTCAAAACCTTTGTGTTTGAGGAGACAAGGTTCACAGCGGTCACTGCCTACCAGAACCACCGGGTGAGGGCCTGCAGGGGGGCCCTGGGGACCCGCAAATTCATCATTTTGGGGAAAGAGGGTACAATTCAGTTGCTTCCGGAGGGCTGGAGGGTTTGGACCTGAGGGCCCTGGGTCCCATTTGGAGCCCCACCCGCAAGGACCTGAAGCCACCCTCCCTCCTGTGGCAGACTGGCCCAGCCTCCTATCAGTTTGACCTCCCCAGCAGCAACTGTCACTGCGGCCTGAAAGTTTGTTTTCCAGACCATTCCGGAAACTCCTCATCAGGGCCTGATCTGAGATTTACCCAAATTCCTAGGGCACCCGAGGTGGGGGGAGAGAGCAGAGGTGACCACATTCCTAGCCCAGCCAGGGGCACCGGGGCTCCATCTCCATTCAACTGGGGGCACTAGAGGAATCCCCCAGTGAGAGAGGAGGCTCCAGAGCCCCCACTGCAGTAGGGAGACACAGCCCGCGTGGGGGAGGGAGCCGACAGGGCTGGTTCTTGTTGGGGCAGCGGGGAGAGGTCCTGGGTAGGTGAGCTAACGCTCCGCCGTGCTGCGCTGAGGTCTGTGGCCCTGGGCTTCAGGGCTCCAGCTGTTGGCTCACTACAGCTTCCCTGCAGATCACACAGCTCAAGATTGCCAGCAACCCCTTCGCCAAAGGCTTCCGGGACTGCGACCCTGAGGACTGGTGAGTGTCCTCTAAGGAGAAAGAGCGCCCGGGCCTCTGGCGGAGCGTGCCGCCCTGACTCGCCTCCCTCCCGCAGGCCCCGGAACCACCGGCCTGGCGCGCTGCCGCTCATGAGCGCCTTCGCGCGCTCGCGGAACCCCGTGGCCTCCCCCACGCAGCCCAACGGCGCGGAGAAAGGTAGGGCCGGGGTCGTAGGATCCGGGTCTCGGCCCTGCGCGGGCTCCATCCCGGGCCCGGGGCCCCGCCCGACCCCACCTGCGCCCCTGGGGCGCTTACGGCCTTCCCAACGGTTGCACAACGGCCGTGGCGGCAGGCAAGCGCTCACTCGCCGGCCCGGCCCGACGGCTGCGCCCCGCCCGCCGCTGCAGCCAGCGGAGGGGCGCGGGACCCTGGGGAGGGCGCCGGGTCTCGGGAAGGCTCGCGCCGAAGGGTCGGGGACACAGCTGAGTGCAGCCTCTCGTGCGTTGGCGGGTCTCCTCCGAAGTCCTGGCCGGCCGCGCTCACTCCAGCCCTCCTCGCAGACGCGGCCGAGGCCCGGCGAGAATTCGAGCGCGACGCCAGCGGCCCGGCGGTGCTCGGGGACCCGGTGCCCCCGCCGCAGCTGCTGGCCCGGGTGCTGAGCCCCGCGCTGCCCGGGGCCGGCAGCGCAGGCGGTCTGATGCCGCTGCCCGGCACACCCGGAGGCCGGCCCAGCCCCCCGCACCCCGAGCTGCGTCTGGAGGCGCCCGGCGCGTCGGAGCCGCTTCATCACCACTCCTACAAGTACCCGGCCACCGCTTACGACCACTACCTCGGGGCCAAGAGCCGCCCGGCGCCCTACCCGCTGCCCGGTCTGCGCGGCCACGGCTACCATCCGCACGCGCACCCGCACCACCACCACCATCCCGCCATGAGCCCGGCGGCCGCCGCCGCCGCCGCTGCTGCCCCCGCCGCCGCCAATATGTACTCGTCGGCTGGGGCTGCACCGCCGGGCTCCTACGACTACTGCCCCAGATAACGGGGCGAGCTCTCCGCCCGGCCGCACGGCGCCCAGGGCCGGCGAAGACACGTGTCCCCTGCCCTGGGGGCGCTGCGGGTTGCTGTCCCGCAGCTAGGAAGCCAGACTGGCCCTCCATCCCTTGCCCCGAAGGCTGTCGAAGTATCCGGTTCCCTAGTCCCCGGAGCTGCTGGGATCCGTCTCCAGCCCCAGAGCCGTGGGGTCCCCGCCCGCCAGTGCCAAAGCGCCCGGTCAGAGTCGGAAGGAAGTGGTATTTATTATTCTCCGAGACTGCGTTGCCCGCGGTCCGCCGGCAGTGGCAGTGTAGACTCCCCGAGAGCCGCGCCAGGAGGCGGTGTAGATACGTGTAGATACTGTAGATACCGGGCCGGCATCGTCTCGATAAACGGTTTCGTTCTTTTGGAAGCTCTTGCGTTTCCATTTATTTTGCGCCCAGTTAGAGCGCTGCTGGGGGATCTCGGGACAACTGGGGGACTCAGGGTTTCCCGGGCCCAATTCCAGCAGGCAGTGCTGTTCCCCAGCGCTTGCGTCCCCCTTTGAGGCTGCTCCCACTTCACCTCCCCTCCACCTCCCTGCTGCATCCTGGCCCCCCAGGCTGGAGGACCATCCTCAGGTGTGCCTTCTGCCTTTATATCTGCAGTTGTTGCCCTTCTTTTTTGAATCGTCGTAGCTCCCAGCAGCTTCAATATCTCCAGCTCAGCCTTAGCCTCCCAGAGTGCTAGGATTACAGGCAGTGCCCAGCCTGCTGTTGTCACTGTTTTAAGACCAGGTCCTGTGCCCTGACTGGTTTTGGGGACAGGCTCTTCCTGCGTGCTTTTTCAGGGAAGCTGGAGATGATGGGTCAGGGCTGGGAGGGAGAGGAGCCCTGAGAGCCATGGGACTGTGAAGACAGGCAGCTCTGTTCCTGAAGCGTTTCCCCTGGCCTCGCCTAGCCCAGGCCTGCATTTTCCCCCTGTTTGTTGACTTTATTTGCTCTGAGTGTCCCTATGGAGTGACCCTAACTGGAGGGGACAATGACCGTGGTGATGAGTCATCCTGAAACCTGTGTATGAAGCATTTTCCCCAGGCCAGGTGGCTTAGGGACCTCTCGCCATTAACTCAACACCAGGGATGCAGCCAAAGGAACCCTTTGATGCCTCCCTTCCTGAGTGCAGGCAGGAAAGGCTGACAGCCTGTCAACATCAGGGCTAACTCAGAGAGAGATGAACGGGAAATGCACGTGGCTGAAATTCTGTTACCCACCTTCCGTGACTGTCCCAGTGTGCTTGTGGCAACTGCTGCCTTTTAGGCCTCCTGGCTCATTGCTCCTGAGTGACAGTGGTGGCCTGGGTGCCTTCTCTCTGAGGGCATGCCCAGGCACTTCCAGATGTTAACTCTGGACCTGACCTATTTTTCCTGGATGTGTTCATACTCCAGTAGGAAGAAGTGACCAAAGGCTTAGCAATTGAATGGGGGGAACTGTTCCCAGAGGCCAGTCTAGGAAGGGAGAGCCCACCCAAAGCCTCCCAGGACGTTTAGCACCAGGACATGAAGACTAGCACCATGGTCTTCATGGTGCTAGCATCTGCCTGAATGACCAGCAGGCTGCAAGGACACAGCCTGAAGAGCACAACTCTAGGTGCAGTTGTGGATGGTTCCCAGCCACCCTGGCCGTAAATTTCCCTTTGGTCAGCTGCAGGTGACAGTGGGATCCCTACTTGGGACAACCTGTTATGCATTTGCATCACGCCTGCTTTGTCATAGGAGGCCAGGGGTGCCCTGTGCCTGGGGAGTGACAGGCTGGGGCTTGCACTGCAGTGGACACTAGGGACATCTCAGGCCTCCATCTTTCCTCTCAGAGTGCAGCCATCCTGCACTGTCAACACCCAGGGTTGACACCATTAGACATAGCCGCCTTAGTTATGTTCAAGCTAAAGCAAGTAGAAACCCCTGAAGGAAATTGGAACCCCATGTTTGTAAGTGTGAGGAAGGAACATGCAGGGACCCTGGGTGTGCAGCTTGCTGGCCTTGTACAGATGTCCCCTTTCCGTCGTGATGACCAGAAGAAGTGGTCCACCAGGGTCACGACAAGGCACACAAGGCCATTTACATTTTGACCAATTAGAGTTTAAACACTCAGGTCCTCACTGGCCTTTTCCAAGTACTGGAGGGCTTGTGAGCTGTAGATCATCACAGTGGCTGCAGATCATCACAGTGGCTGCTGCCAAGGAGAGTGTTCTCTGTGATGGAGGACAGGGCCCAGAGGTGTATCTGCCAACAGCTCATTACTGACAGCGCACAGTGAAACATTGGGGGGGAGCTTCCACTCTGCCCTGTGCTTGCAAGCCCCACCCACACCATCTACCATCTGTCATGCACTCACTGGTTGTAGACCCCATGGTGCTGACATTCTTGTGAGCAGCCACCTCTGGACCCTCCTAAGAACTGGTTTCCATTGGCTTCTGTTCTGTAACTGCTATGGCCTGACTATGTCCCCCCAAATTCTTAAGTTGAAATAATCACCCCCAAGGTGGTAGTGTCAGCATGAAGCCCTCATGAATGGGCCCCCGGGCTGGGCCTAGTGGCTCATGCCTATAATGCCAGCACTCTGGTAGGCTGATGTGAGTGGATTGCTTGAGGCTAGGAGTTCAAGACCAGCCTGAGCAAGAGTGAGACCTTGTCTCTATTAAAAATAGAAAAATTAGCCAGGCAGAGTGTTTTGTGCTTGCAGTCTCAGCTACTTGGAGGCTGAGGCAGGAGGATCACTTGAGCCCAGGAGTTCAAAACCAGCCTGTGCAACATAGACTCCAACTTTACAAAAAATGTTAAAACTTTGCATGGTGGTGTGTGCCTGTAATCCCAGCTTCATGGAAGGTTAAGGTGGGAGGATTGTCTAGCTCAGAGTTCAAGGTTGCAGTGAACTGTGATGGCACCACCACATTCCAGCCTGGGGAACAGAGTGAGACCTTGTCAAATAAGTTAGAGCTATTGATAGATAGTTAGGACCCTCATGCCTTTGGGCATGTGAGGACACAGAGAGAACTACTGCTGCCATCTGTGCACCCTGCAGCCTGCAGCAGCTCTCAGCAGAACCAGGCCTGGTTGCCATGCTGCTCTCAGACTTCCAGCCTCCAGAACTGTAAGAGCTGTGAGAAATAAATTGCTGTTGTTTATAAGCCACCCAGTCTATAGCATTTAGTTATCCTGCTCATGCCAACAGTGGCCATCCTTGATTCCTTCCCCTTCACCTAAGGTTCCTCTGCCAATGAGCCTGCTCTGCCCCTCTATGACCAGCAATGCCACCCAGGGGTTTCATCCCATCTGCTGTCTCCTCCTGGGTTCACCCCTTTCCCTGCCTCCCCAACAACCTCCTCCGGGTTCCCCCAGCCTGTTCAGAAGCCCCATTACCCTCCCCTAGCCTGGCTCCAGCTGTCCAACTGGGACTTAGGATAAGGGCTAGAGTCCCCAGACCCTTCTAAAACAATACAGGTGTAACATTGGAAATAGATAAGCTCTTGACTAAGTGGGGGCAAGGGGCTGTCCGTGCATGCTTCAGCCCTTGGGGCCGCAGGCATGCAGTTGCAAGACCCTATGGTAGCCCTGCTCCCTATTTTCTGAAGATGAAACCAGGCCCAGAACCACACGGGGCCCCCAAACCAGTCCCTTTGTCTAAGGGAGGCCTGGAAACTCTGCATTGCTGGGAGAGGCTGGTCACACACATCTGTCCCAGGGTGGGGATTTGGGGTGCAGAGGCAGGACTGTTATTCAGCTATGGGAAGAGGGGAGTCTACTGGGTGGTGCCTCCAGCTGCAGAGGGAAAGGAGATCCTGGCGTCCTGGGCTCTGGTGCCACCCCAGGGTATGCCCTGCAGCTGGGGAAGCCCATGGAGTGTGTGGGACCCTGTGATGATAGTTGTGTGAGGCCGAGGCACTGGGCTCCGGGTGTGCCGCAGATCAAAGCACCCCTCACACTGGAGACTTCCACGTGGCCATGGCTGTAGGGGCAGAGCCAGCAGAGCCCCTTGCTGGTGGACAGAGGTGGTGGCCACCGAGCTGCTTCAAGGATGAAAGGGGTGACTGGGGGGGGGGCAGTACAGCCCAAGCAAGAGCAGGGCACCAGGGAGAGCACAAGACTGTGTCCTAGGGTCCCTGTGCCTCAGATGCCCCCTCAGGCTGTGGTGCTGACCACTGCCCTGTGCAGGAAACCCTCTGGGAACAGTGAAGGCCCTCATGAGCTGTTCATCATACATCTCCTCCTGTGGGTTCCAGAAAGGCTGAGTGCTTTTCTAGGGCCCTATCCTGCCCCTTCCTACTCACCGAGCCCTTTTGTACCTCAAGCCCCCTCTGCATCCACCCTGGGCCCAGCCACGAAGCAGGTGTGGACATAGCCCCTCTGCCCGGTGTGGTAGCACCCAACCCTGGTGAGGGCAGGATGGGACTTTTTCCTGGTGCTACCTCACACATTTTCTGTGTTTAAAAAAACACAAATTGTGCCTTTGATTCAATTCCCTTTCCTGCTTGTTGTACTACTTCAAACCAGATGGGTTCATAAGACTGAACTCTGGAGACTCAATGTCTCTCTTTAACTGCTGCCAGGTCTGTGTGTGGGGAACAGCAGAACCAAAGGTATTTTGTTAAAAGCAGCCCACATGGGGGAGAAGCTTAGGTTTTAATAGCAGTAATTAAATTATCTTCTTAATTATAAAGAGGCATGGCATTGTCAACATCCTTTATCTATCAGCTTCCAATTGTGCAGAGTAAGCACGTAATCCCTCCGGCTTCCTCTGCTCCCCGGCCAGCCCAGCCCTCCTGCATCGCCCCATTTCACTGACTCCCAGATGCACTGGTATTTTTTCCTTCACAGTTTGGCATCTCGGAAGTTGAGACATGTTTTAATCATAGGGGGATCTCAGCCTAGCTAGAGGGCTCTTTACTTGGCTGTACATGACATCACGGTAAAGCTGCAGAGCTGCTTCAAGGATGAAAAGGGGTGACCCTGGAGGTGCAGTACAGCCCAAGCAA